ACCTCACAGCCATGGGCAAAAGCTAACTTAACTTAAACAAACTAATCACTCACAGCTCTGCCTAGAGCCTTACTTCCTTGGTGATTCCAGATTCTGTCAAGTTGATGTTAATCATCACAGAATTATTGCCAAAATGGTAGCAACTACTTTTTTTTGTAATGTCATCCAATTCTTTTTCATTAAATATTCCTTCTTTCCATCATTCAATGTCTAGGAAATTTGTTTTAGGAAACAAAAGTTACAACAGAAATGTTTTAAAATCATTCTCCTTATCAAACAAACTCTTCATGGCATAAACATTTATGTAAAAAAAATCAAGAAAATAGCTTGAAATCATTACATCTCTGGTACTTGTCCCATCACTGCTTAGGGAAAAAGAAAGCCATAAATACTCACAAATATGTGAATGGCATATCTAAGGAAGATGGAGCCCTATTCATGAATAGGGGGCCTTGAGCCTCAAAACACAAGTGACCGAAATTGTTCCCATCAGCTCAAGCACGATCATTGAAGTGTCAAAGGGATATGTCAAACTGGATATGAAAGATTCTTGTGTGAGCTATAATTGTACAGACCAGTTTTCCAGGATTAGACAGCTTTGAGAGCTACCACCAGAGGGCGCCATACACCAACTACATGGAAGCCTAATTTAAACATTCTGCTGTATTCGATAGTGTAAGAACTTACACTAAGTCCTTGAGAAACCACAAATTGATAGTGTAAGAACTTACACTAAGTCCTTGAGAAACCACCAATTTCTTCATTCCAGGAACATGGGGCATCTTTGTTTCTTCTTCTGCTAGTGTGATAACAAATTGTGGGAAAGCAATTGATTTGAAAACTTTTTACTGTTTTGGTTTTATTTGTTTGTTATTGTTGTTATTTTTATTCTTCTCTCTTACATTGCGTCCCAACTGCAGTTTTCCCCTCCCTCCACTCCGCTCTTCTCCAAACCCTCTCCTCCTCCATTCCCCTTAAAAAAAAAAAAAAAAAAAAAGCAGGTCTCCCAGGGATATCAACTGAACATGGCATAAGAAATTACGACTAGGCACAAATCCTCATATCAACTCAATAAGGCTTACTGGACTCTTCGTTTAAGAACACAGCGTTCCATGGAAGGAAGTTTTAGGGGCAGGAACTGGAAGATGCTGCTCCCAATAAATCTCCATTCCAGAAGCAGAGAACCAGGAATGGCCATGCTCAGATGACTCCCGGGGTTTGGGCAGTAAATTAAACAAGCCCAGAGAGGAGCACTATGTAGTTTTAGGGTATGCCATCCCGCAGAAACCATACTGAGATTTCCACTGGGGAAAATAGTGCATGGGCTTCAGACTGTTTGACTTTAGTTCTTATGACAACGCTAAACGCACCCAGATTCCTTCCTAGGCTATCACACAAATAGCGCCTGAACCAGTTCCCGGTGGAGTCCATGTTCTTAGTGAGCTTGACCTCCAAGGTCTCTCAGCATCCATGTCTTCCAAGTTCACAAGAGAGCATAGCCCATGAATTTCTGCTTCCAACACGCTAGGGCTGTTCTTACCCAGATTCTCCACATTCTCTTTCACAACATACAAAATAGTCCCAGGAACCCAAGACCCACGAGTTTAGGTCTACCACAACAGTGTCTGTCCTGGCGTCAAGTGTCTGCCAAAGCTGTGGTGAAAAAATACTTTAGCATGTTGCTTACATGAGCACAGATTTGTTTGACTCCGTGTGAGGGCAGAGGACATCATGGTGGGCAAGTTCTGTTGTCAGGACGTGAGGGGCCTGACCACGCGGCTTACTCAGGGAAGAAGCTGAGAACACTGAATGCTGACACCCGTGAGCTTCTCCTCTGCCTGCATTCCAGGAACCATGGACAAGGCCTGGTGCAGCCCCGTGTGGGTGCGGGTCTTCACGTCTCAACCTAACCCATGTATTCCCCATAGGCATGGGCAGAGCCTAACCCAGTTGAGATCATTCCTCACAGTTGTACATGGAGTCTGGTCTCATAGATGATTCTAGACATAATTAAATTACCAACAAAAAATAACGACCACACAGGGTGAAACTGAACAACATTTTGAGAAAATATCCAAGTGATTGAAGAGATAGTTCCTTGAGACAGAGTTTCCCTGTATAGACCGGGCTGTTCTAGAACTCGCTCTGTAGATCAGGCTGGCCTCAAACTCAAAGATCTGCCTGCCTCTGCTTCCCAAGTGCTAAGACTAAAAAATTTATAATACAATATACTGTGATCACATTTTACCTCCTCCAACTCCTACGGATCCTCCCTACCTCCTGACCCAGACAACTCCATGCTCCCACCCCCTCATGATGAGTAGAATAAAATAAAAAAAGCCCTTCTTATGATTTTACAGCATTCATCAGCAGACAGTATTCTAGACATGAAGAAAGTGATTCCCAGGAATTAAGACGATAGCTGTTAGGGGTCGGCAATTGTGGCTGTAATCGCAGAAGTAGAAATGTCCTAATCTTAGTTTGTTGTTGTTGTTTTAAACATGGAATGCTTCACGAATTCGCGTGTCCTCCTTGCACAGGGGCCATGCTAATCTTCTCTGTGTCGTTCCAGTTTTAGTCTATGAGCTGCCGAAGCGAGCATCCTAATCTTAGTTCTATGCAGTGTCGATGAACAACTTTCTCCTGCGATGGACATGGTCATTGCCCAATGGCTAGTCTGTTGGCAATCAGTCCCCATGTGGCAATGTCGAGAGGCAGGTGTACTTCCAGAGACAGGGCCTTTAGTGCAGCCACCCTGGAAGCAGGCTGCCGCTCTCTTGCAGGCATTGCTCTTGTTTGTACCTAGAAGCTGCTCAAGCCTTGCATGAGGATGTTTTCAGAGCGCAAGACTAGCCCCTGGTCACTCTGTCTTCCTGTCTCACCGTCTCTCTCTCAGACATGCCCCTGCCATGTGACATTTAGTGATGTGACATGACTTAGTTGGCCTCGACCAGAGTCCAGACTGATGAGACGGTGCATTACCTCTTGTCCTTTGGCCACTAAAAACAGTGACCAACCAATAACAATCCAGGATAGACGGTCATGAGAGTGCATAGAGGTTTGGGGTACAGAATGTAGGACTAGGAATCTAACAGTATCTCAAAATTAATTAGTAAAAGCTAATATACGGATGGAAAGTAAACCTGTGTGTCATTTTGTCACTTATGACATAAGTCCTGCAATATTTTGTTTGTACGTTTGTATTTTGAGACAGGGTTTCTCTGTGTAGCTTTGGAGCCTATCCGGGAACTCCCTCTGTAGCCCAGGCTGGCCTCGAACTCACAGAGATCTGCCTGCCTCTGCCTCCCGAGTGCTGGGATTGAAGGCGAGCACCGCCCCCCCCGGCCCCCCCCTAAGCCTTGCAGTCATGACATCACAATGGCCCGTCACCCTGACTACTGTAGAATCCTCAGGTCTCAGTGGTTGGTCCGCCAACTGCTCCAGCCCTCTTCGGCGTCTAGTGCCAAGGAGAAAGAGAAGTTTAAGTCTATTTATTGAAAGGCTCTCCATTCAAGGCTTCACTGGAAAAGGTATTCTCTTAAGAACTATCTCTGGGTGTAGCTCCGTGACAGGTTCGGCCTCGCACGCGCCTCCCACCCACCGCCGCCACGACGCCCAAGAGGAAGGTGAGCGGCGAAGGCGGAGATCGGCGAGGTCGTCGGCCAAGCCGGCCCCTGCCAAGGTGGACGCGAAGCCGAAGAAGGCCGCGGGAAAGGATAAACCATCAGACAAAAAAATGCAAACCAAGGGAAGAGGGGAGCCAAGGGCAAACAGGTGGAGGTGGCTGACCAGCAAACCACAGCTGTGCCTGCAGAACACGGAGAGGCTGAGAACCAGCGTCCAGCCTCTGAAGAAGAGAAGCAGCCAAGGCCGACTAACCATCCATCGTGTCTGTCGGTCCCCGCCTCCCTTCTTGTACAACCCAGAGGAATATTTTTATCAACTATGTTGTAAATGCGAGTTCTTTAGTAGCTCTAGAAACATATTTAAAAGGTGGAAGTCCCGCTCATCCCATTTTTTAAGTGTAAATTATTTTTTTAAGAGGTTAAATCACCTGCTGGTTGTTTATTTTTTGGTACAACCAGAAAGTAGCAGGATACTGAATCAGGAGAGGCTGTGACTGTCTCGGGGGTCCCCATAACATTCCGTAGAGGGGGCTAGTTTTATATCCTACAACACAAAGCAGACTTGGAGTCTTGGTCATGCATTTGTGTCTGGAATATTTTCAGTTATTTCTGGTCTCGTGTTTCTAGTACAACTGTATCCTAAAAAACCACTCCTGGGTCCTTGCCCTGTCAGAACTGTCTCTGGTCACGGCAGTCCATTTTCCTCACAATTGTGATAATGTGCTGTGAAAGATTGAAATTTTGAATATGTACTGTATGTGGCATAAAATTGTGAGTCAGTGGAATTAAGGATTGTGAGCGTTTGATTGTTATGTGAGGTCTTAGGGAAAACTTGCCAAGCTTAAGATACAATATCACTGGAATAAGTTCAAAGAGAAACAATACACGGCTCTTTTGGGTACGTGAACACAATGTGTGACTCTTAGAGTTTGGGTCCATGTTTTAGGAATTGAAATGTCTGTGTGCTCAACTAATAAAGTCTCAGTTGTGAAAGAGTAAAAAAAAAAAATAAAAATAAAAAACTATTTCTGGTCCTTATGATAGGCGGGTGGACTCAGGAAGTATTCTGTCTTCTTTCCTCCAGATCATGGAAACTTATTCTCCACGCAGCACACCCCTCATGAATAGTAAATTATTTTAATGAGGTTCACTGCCAGTCCCCTCAAGAAAGGAGGCTCCACACTGTCAGGGGGCAGGGGAGTGTCTCTGGAGGTGTTAGCGTTGTTGACCTGCAGCGAGCACACAGCCTCTGAGCCAACCTGCCACAGAGGCTGCCGCTGTGCTGCCACAGAGGCTGCGGGCAGAAGCTACAGGGAGTGTGAGGTCTTTTTGTCACGTGGGTGCCACTTATTACAATCAATTTACATGAGTCTATTAAATGTAACAGAATTTATTAAGATATAAATTGAGAAAATACACTCACGATTACAGAACAGAAGCGAATCCACCTTGCAAGCAGGAGCAGGGAGAAGGGCATGTGACCCTTCTCCAACCCCTTATAAGAGGTCACATAAACATCAGGAAGCACCACCTCCTTTGGGCTGTATAGCCCGAGGTCATGGGCGGAGCGAATACCGCTACGCAGAGGTTCTGGGACACCCGGAGAGAAGCGGTTGTAATAAACGCGGCTTTCCAAGTCAGGCAAGAGGATTTACGCTTTGTTGACCTTGGTTATTTTACCCAATAGGAGCATGAAGGCCAACTGGATAGTGGTCAGATCTCAGGCAAACTTATAAGAACCTTCTGATTTTCAGAAACTTTTTAGTGTTTCCAACATTTTTATTGTTAATGCCAGTTTCAAAAATTTGAACTCTGTTTTAGCTAAGATAGGAATAGCTTTTTCAAACATCCTCATTTACTTGAATTTTCATGAAGCTAAATCTGAATTATTTTGGCCTTCAGTCAAACTAGACGGCTGCTGTGTGCCACAATATATGAGTACCCCTATGGCCCTTTAGTGGGTATGTCTGGTACTGTAAAAGTTAAAGCAGAGGAAGCAATATTTCAGGTCCGATCCTGATTAAGTCTTCTGAGCTTGTGTCAGAAGGCGATGGTGTTTTCAGCAGTATGGACTTACCCTCAGCCTCTGAGAGGAAACACACAGCAACAGACCATGCTCTTGAAGTCATTTGGTTTACGCTGACCAACAAATTGAATGGAGGTTTCTCATGCTTGGTCTTACGGGTTTTGTGTGATACCTTGTGACTCTGGGGAGCGCTATCATCCCAACTGGTAGAACTACATATAAATATGTATACACACAAATACACAGTATAAGTTTAGGCAAGCAGAAAGAAATTTCATTGCCTGAGGCTTTAGTCAAACTTGATGTTGTTTGCCCTTCATTCTTTCCTCTGCATCTGTGGTGACTGCCCTCCTCCACAGAGACACCCCTCGCCATTTCCCCACTGCACCCTTCAGATCAGCTGTATCTTTCTAGACTCCTTTCTAGCCCCTGCCCCTCATCCCTTTTTACTCACACACTGGTTGCAGTTAATCTATGTTATATATTCAGATCTGAAGAGTTTGAGCTTGGAACCACAGATGTGAGTGAACATGTGCTGTCTGTCTTTCTGTGTCTGTTACCTCACACAATATATTTTTCCATTTACATCCACGTAGCTGCAAAGTCCATGACTTCATTTTCCTTTGCAGCTGAATAGTGTTCCCTTGTGTATAGGCACCACAATTTTATTATCCATTCATGTGCTGAAGGACGTTCCCGTTGCTCTATCCCAAGTGTTGTGAATAGAGCAGCAATGAACACAACTCAGCAAGTGTCTGTGAAGTCGATTCTGAAGTCTTTTTGGTGTATTCCGGGGAGCTGTGCAGCTGGGCCTCACTTACCTGAGAGGATTCTCCAGACTGATCACCAGAGTGGCTTCTTTAGTTTGCACTCCTGCCAACAGCCAATGGGTTTTTCTGATCCCCCACGCTTTGGCAAGCATGTGGTGCCTGCTGGTTTGTTGACCTTAGCCATTCTGAGTGGGGTGAGATGAAATCTCAAACTTGTTTTGATTTGCATCTCCCAAAATGGAAAGGATGATGAAGAGTTTTTGAGGTATTTCCTAGTCAAAACTATCTTATTTGAGTCTTCCTTGATGACTATATCACAGTGACTTCAGTAAACATATGATAAGAAAATGTACATATAAAAATCAATATATACATATATGCATGTATATACAAACATATATATTTCTCAGCATGTCCAATTGAAAAAAAAAAGGAAAATGAAAACGATGATTTAGTTATATTTAGAGAACTGAGCCTATGAGTTTAATTTCATGGTACTCTTCACATTTCTCACAAAGTTTGTCCTCTTGGCCTCTGACTACCCTGTTGATCTCTCTTCTGTTAGTGTTTGACCTGTCACAGGAGAGGCCTCTTTTCTGAGATGGAAATTTTAAATGGGAAAGTCACAGCTTCGGAAATCAAGAACCAAACCCTCGTGTTCCATGGGCCAGTGGAACTCAGAAGAGAGAGCATCAGTAAGAAGTGTCATCTCTACCTGTACAGAGATTTCTTGGTTGTGACGAATAGTCAGTACGTATTTACTTCAGACTCCTGATTATTAAAGGCAGCAGTGGGTCCCCCTTACTGTGGAACAACTCAAGGGGATTTCTCTCTTCTGTTTTTACAAATATTTTGATTCCTTCATTATTTAACAGCCTGTGGAGCTCCTATTTCGTCCAGTGCCCTGGTAGAAAATAAAATGGAGAATCTATAGTAACAGCCATATTTGATTGCACATATCAGTAATTCAAACATTTTGGAGTGTTATTAGCATAGGCTACTAGACTACTGGTTAAGGGGGGAAGAAACATAGGACAACCTGGGAACACATGTCTGATAATAAAAACCTGGTTTTGTACATTATTCACACTTCCATGGTAGCTTGTAGAGTTAAAAATCCCATAACAAGTTCATGGAATTTGTCCGCACACTCCAATTGTAAAAGAACAATCCCAGTGCAAAGGCTGATGGCCCTTGGAAAGAGAGAGCCAAGCCCGAATGGAAGAGAGAACTGCTTCCCAGAGTTGGCCTCCCACAGGGACCCTAGAGCACGGACAAAGAGTTTGAGATTCTCAGCAGTTCCTCCATCCAAACCCTGTCTCTGCTGCCTTGGCTATTAGCCATTCTGACCCTTCCTCACCAAAAAAGTGGGGATCATAGAGGTTAGCTGGTGTTGTTAAATATTAAATTGAACAAAGGTCATAAAATTTCTTTAGGTTTCCTATAAAATCACTTGAGAGCAAAATTAATGACCTGTGCCCTAAAAATAACCGCTGGTTTTGTTTTAAGGAAGCCTGAAACCAGAGCACTTGATTGAAATAAGGTCAAATTATTGAAATGGACGTTCCCTCTCTATATATAAGAATGAATATTTAAAACAGTATGCTTCAAATCCATAGTCTAGTCTATACTCAATGCCGATATGTAAAAGGTACTGTCAGAGTCTTCCAGAGGCCGCTGCCTTCAGTGCAGGTTTACTGAGTTCTGTCCACTTGCTGGGCTGTGCCTGTAGTGAGTAACGAAAGGGTCCAGCTTTGCTCTTATCAGGAGCACAGGTCCCCTGCTGAAAAAACAAACTAACGAAGACCTTGTTTAACTCTTTTTTTAGGTATAACCTAGCCTTTAAGATAAAATACATCATCCCTCTGACTTCCCTGTGGATGGGGGAGTGTGTGGCCACAGACTTTGTAGGCTCCAGTCAGGCCAGGAAATCCATTCACCTAGGCTGGCCCATAGAGAACTTCATAGTCACTTTCCGGTAAGAACCAGAACTTGTTCCTTGGTTGGCATTGGCTGTCTGTAGAAGGACACAATTGGATTCTTATTATTCAGTACACATAGACAATTTAAATGTAAAAACTGTTGCCCAGATCTTAAAAATAATATTCTGTTTTAATCTGATTGTATGAAAACTGTCTCGTTATAACCTGCCGTACTGGCACCTGCTGGCCTAGTATTTCCCAAGAGACATTTCAACATGCTTCCATGTTGGATGAATCTAAGTGGGAATCGCTAGGGAACATCCTAAGCTAGAGATCATTGGGTTTTTAGTGGATGCCAGTTTCCTGGTAGCAGGACTGAAAGAGAGCTCAGCTTCTAGAGGAGGAAGTGGAGGGGGAGGGCTGGGGCTGCCTTTCCAGCATCTTAGATGGATGACCGGGTGTCATCCCACTACGTAAATATGTGGTTTGTTTTTATTCTTCAGTAATATTAAGTAGGCCAGTTAGCATCAAAATTCCTTCGCTGCTGCAAAATGAACAGGGTCTCACTGTAGAAAATTATAATCATAAATGTCAAGAACCTCGAGTGTCTGTATATCAAGTTTACATTTTTGATGACTCTAGAGGAGAGGTGAGGACTGGTGCCACTGGACACTCAGAGTCAGAGGTGACTGGTGAGGAGCAGCCTAGGTTTCCACGCTCAGGCTGGCATGTAGATAGATAGGCATGTCTTTGTGTCCTAGAGAGCTCTCAACTAAGGACTCCCAGGGAGCCTGTGGCCACACCAGCTGCTCTGGGGACCGCCACACAGCAGCACTTACACTAGTTACCACAGGAAGAGTTCACCCATGGCTCCTCGCTCTTCCTCCTCACCTCACTTCCCCCCAAACATCCAGCCTCATCCCAGAGCTCCATCAGCTACCACACAGGCCTTCAGGCTTTGCAACCTTACTAAATGCAGCCTCCGCTGTTGACTTAAGGAACCATTGACAGAGTGTTTTAGAAAGAAATCCATGTTTGGGTGGCTCTCTCAATCTTTTCTTTTTTATTCCTGATTTCTCTGCGTATTACATTTTTATGCTAATAGCTTCCTCGAATTTGCACTTGAGATAAAGCAGTTCAAGTGGAGATGGGTGAAGTGTTTGATGACAGATTTCCAGGGGTCCCTTCAGTGTTCAGAGACTGAACTGTAGAACTTTCCTTTATGTGTTAGGTAGGCTATAAAGACCAGTTTAAAAACTGGGTATCAGCATCTGTAATAGTGTATGTCACCCGGTGCGCATCATCCTTACCATTATATAACTTGATGTGAGGATTTAGAAACGGTGTATGCATACGTTGAGGGTGATACGGATGGATGATTGACCCTTCTGATGAACGCAGCCCCAGAATAATACAGATGCGGAGAGCAGTTGGGGGGAATTAGTAATAAAAGCAAGGAATGTGCTCTGCCTCGGGAAAAAGGAAAACTGAACGGTCCTCTGGGAAGTTCAACAGCTATTCCACGTAACTCTGCATCTCCAATCCTAGGTGTAGACTCATTGGCTATGACGACACACAACTCCATAAGAGTTCATGCATAAATATTTTAGTAGCCTGGTTCATAACTACCAATAGTGTAAGAAACTGACTATTCAGGCATTACATGGATAAAAAAAATAAAGTACTCTCAGCCAAAGTGTTCAATTTAATGTATCTCTAGTATGATTTCATACAAATAAATCTTCTGTATTTGAAAACCACCTCAACCAGCAGGAGCACACAACGCTCACTCACCCTTTCATCTGTTGTGAAAATGAAGCCCAGAGCACTTGCCTTACCCGGCAGAGGTCAGCTGGCTTGGATTCCACAGCTACAGTCAGCCAGCTTCCACACTACCGTCCACTTCCTGTCTCTAACAGGTCACCCGGCAAAGGGCAGGTCTGTCAGATGCCCGGGTGTGAGGAGGACACTCACATTGGTAACCACAGATCACAGGCTTCTAATATGTTGGTTATGAAAGATACTCTTCAAATCCAATCATAAATGTTTTATATGATTTAATTTTTCTCCATCTTTATATTGCAGATCTTTGGACCAAAAAAGAGAATGGTGTTGTTTCCTTCAAAGGTATTTTGTTGTTGTGCATTTTTTTTAACTCTTTAAACAGTGGTGAATGAATAAGAGTCTGTGCACCACCCCGGTCTGTTCCCTTTGTTCTGACTAGAGCTGGTTAGCCTGACTTTGACTAAAATCTTCTTGCTTAGATGGACCCTGGCTACTGCTGTAATTTCTCACTTCCCAGTGTTTGAGGATGTGGTGGCTGCTATTCTTACAGTCTCCTTTTCTCCTGCCTTTGTGTCGGAGCAAAGATTATTCTAGAAGATAATGGTACTGTCAAGACAGGTCACTCACACCAACTGCTGCTTCCTGCTCACTGACTGTATAGCGCCATCCTCACTGATCAAGCAGGAATGTTTGAGAACTAGTTCTGCTGCTTAAAATGGCACAACTGAAGACAACTCTGTTTTCTAGAACTTACCCTGTTTTCCAAAACCGTTTCTTTTCATTTGATCTGCCATAGAAAATTTTCTGAGTCCATTCATTTGCATAAAATTTTTTAAACAAGGCTGGAGAGATGGCCCAGCAGTTAAGAACACTGCTCTCTCAAAGGTCCTGAGTTCAATTTCCAGCAACCACATGATGGCGCACAACCACCTGGTTGTGAGATCTGGTGCCCTCTTCTGGCCTTCAGGGACACATGCAGGCAGAACACTGTATAAATAATAAATAAATCTTTAAATTTTTTTAAAACATTGACAAACTTGATTAATGTGAAAATAAGCAACTTGAAGTTCATTTCATATATTTTGTCTCTTTATCAAATTTGTCCAGATCCATTAATCAAACCAAGGAGAAGTACCACGGGATGAGTACTACACTGGAGATATTCATAGAGGACAGCCCGAGCGGGAACACTGTATGTGCACATTAGACTAAGACGATATTGTACTTTAATGGCTGAATTTAAGACTTGTGCAGACTGATAGATTCCACTCTAGTTTCACTGTTGGTGCTTGAGGACATCCAGTGTTCCCAGCACCATGTTCTTGTTGCTGTTGTTATTTTTGAGGCAGGGTTTCTCTGTAGTGCTGGCTGTCCTGGAACTCTCTCTCTAGACCAGACTGGCCTCAAACTCAGAGATCCTCCTGCTTCTACCTCCCGAGTGCTGGCATTAAAGGGGTGCAGCGGTATAAACCAGCCCCCAGCACCATTTCTGAAGATGTTTTAGCGTCTTTGTCAAACATCAGATGGTTGTAACTGTGTGCTTGGGTTGGGTCTTTGTTTTGGCTCGTTGGCCTCCAGGTTCGTTTTGTGCCCCTACCATCCAGCCCTCTGTCCTAAAATCTGCAATGCCAAACCTTCCACCCTTGTTCTTTTTGCTCAGAATTATTTTTGTTATCCAGGATCTTCTGTGAGTTCCATGAATTTTAGTATTTTTTTTTATATTTCTGCGAAAAATATTGTGGGACTATGGTTTGAGTTATATTCAGTCTATGAGTAGTTTGGGGTACAATTTTTTTTAATTAAGGAATTAATTTATTCATTTTACATACAACAGATTTTTTTGTATTGTTTTCTTTGTTTCTATTTTATTGATTTCAGCCCTCAATTTGACTATTTCCTTGCAGGAGTTATTCCACTTTTTTTTTTTTTTTTTTT